TGAGGGCTTTGCTCCTTAGCTGGCACTTTCTTCGCCAGCGACCTGGGGCGCAGCCTCGCTAAGGGGTGAAGACCACACAGGGTGCTGGATCTGGGTCCCGCTCTAAGCGGGTGTTTACTGGCTCGGTGCCCGGTGGCTCCCTTCAGCCGTGAGCCTGTGTGCTCATTGGTCAGTGGGAGAACCACAGCGCTCTTCTCCGGCGGAGCTGAGATCAGATGGGGTAACTTTAAAAAGTACTTGCCACAACAGCCCCCGTCAGAGGCAGGCCGGTGGTGTCGTAAATGTGCATGGACACACCCCCTGCTGCTGAGCGGCAGGGACCTTCAGCCAGTGACCGGTCCCTCTGACACCCGCTGTCAAACAGGAACCCCGTGCCGCAGGTTGTGGGTGTGGTTATGGGAAGTAACCAAGTTTCTTGCCTCTCCCAACTTCTGACTTTTTTCTCCGGTCTGTGTGCCCATAGGTGACGGCGGCAATGACGTCAGTATGATTCAGGAGTCTGACTGCGGCGTGGGCGTCGAGGGGAAGGTGAGTGGGTGCCGGGTGCCGGGTGGCAGTGCCAGGTGGTGTGTCATTGGCTGGAGCAGCTCTGTCCACGAGCTGGAGTTCTCTCTCCTCCGAGGCACAGACAGCGTCAGAGCTTCTGGGAATCGCACATTAGGAATGTGCTGTAAGGAACCCTGCATCCTGACGACCTTGCCTTACCCCCTGGGGTCAGAATTCAGATCACTGCATCCTGCAGACAAATGCTGATTTTTTGCTTGCGAAAACCTAAATTAAAAAAAGAGAAGGTTTCTGCCATAATCTTGGGGTATGCTGGATGTGCTTCCGACTTTTCCCTGGGGTGGTGGTGTCAGTTGGAGCCCGAGTTGTCACACTGTGTGTGGACTGTGGGAGAACGGGGCATGGCGGGCGCGTTGCTAAAAGGCCTGGGGCCTGCAGTTCTTTCGAGCGTTTGTTACAACAGTTTTCCATCTCTTTCCTTGTCGGCTGTGTGCTGCCTCCCATAGTTTGCTCTGCGCTCTCTAATTTGTGCCGCTCAGTGACTCTCCGCAAGAATAGTGGCAACCAGCTGCCAGAACGGGGTGCAAAATATGAGTGCAGAGGCCCTGGGTGAGGGCTGGGGCTCCCCTTACATTTTGGTCCGTGTCCTCATGAATTTGGCTCATCCTTCTTTTCCTTTTTCACCCTTTCTGGTTAAGTGATCGCGAATGAAATGTTACGTCCGAACTCTGTGTGGACTCCTTCGTTGCAGGTTTTAGGAAGACACTTGAGTCTAATTGATAGAATTCTTTACAGGTTCTATGTGGAGCCAAAACATTTCCCCTTAAAATTATATTCTGATACCTTTGTTTTTGGAGAATGAAAGGAAGAAATGGTCACTGTAAAAAATTAGAACAACTTAGAATGGATGAAGTGTCTTTTAGATAGCCTCATCTAAGTGGTAACATTGTTTATTATTCAGATTTTTTGTCTATGTGTATATTGCTGGTTATGAATATGTATGTATATATTGTATACACACATGTATGTTCATGCATACACATATCTTACACATGTATGTATATTATTTTCAGGTATAGTTTTAAATTAGAAACATTGTGCATTTTAAAAATATACATATTTTTATTGACTCAGAGAGGAAGGGCGAGGGAGAGAGAGATATATAGAAACATCAGTGAAGAGAGTGATTCATTGGTCGGCTGCCTCCACATGCCCCACACTGGGGATCAAGTCTGCAACCTGGGCCTGTGCCCTGACCGGGAATCGAACCGTGACCTCCTGGTTCATAGGTCGATGCTCAACCACTGAGCCATGCTTGGCTGAGCAACATTATGCATTTTTAATGCAACTTGATGGCATCTGTTATATCTTGGATTTCTTTCTACATCAGAACATGTAGATCCGTCCTTTTTTTTTTTAACCTTCCCTCAAACCTTTTATTTTGAAAATGTCACTCCTTCAGAAAAGTTGAACTAGAGCAGTGAGCACCTATCTATTCTTCACTTCAGTTGACCAGTTGTTAACATTTGCCTCATTCTCTCTCTCCTCCCCCAGCCCCCAAATCAGTGGAAAGTCAGTTGCCGAGATAATGTGTTACCCCTAACTACTTTAGCATGGACCTCTTAAGAAAAAGAGGGACAGTGTGGGTTCTCCCCGCTACCTGTGGGTGAGGTTGGTTTGATTCACAGTCTGTGTTTTTGGTGTGAGTAGCACCTAAGGGGAATTTGCATCCCCTGTTGCACCCAGTCAGTTTGTCCCACAAGTGGCATCCGTCATGGACCTTTTAAAATGATAAAATTCCACAAACGGTTGCACTGTAAATTATTTCCGCTTCTATAAATGTGCTAAGCTGCCGTGTATGTTCAGGAATGTTCCATTTAATATTGTTGGTAGCATCTGATTCCTTCCCCCCTCCCCATTTTTAACTCTTAAGGGAACCGAGCGTTATAAATGCCCGTCTTTGAGCGATTCTTTGCTTCTGATGCGCATTACGGCGTGGGCCTTACCCCCAAGGCTTAATGCTACTTCCATTTGACCTCCAAATTATAACTATCTGTGATTTGGAATGTTTTTTGTTTAAATAAATTCCTCTTTTAAAATCAAATTTAGACTTGGACCACCAACTGTGTGTAGCTTGAAACCAAAGAATCTCTTTATTGAAGTTTTTGGGAGATCTCCTTACAGTGTCTTGCTTTTTCAATTAAAACAAATGTGTTCGCTTTGACCTCTTGTGCCTCTGACGGTGCCCGATTTCATCGGATTTCAGGAAGGAAAACAGGCCTCGCTGGCTGCAGACTTCTCCATCACCCAGTTCAAGCACCTCGGCCGCTTGCTCATGGTGCACGGCCGGAACAGCTACAAGCGCTCGGCCGCCCTCAGCCAGTTCGTGATCCACAGGAGCCTGTGCATCAGCACCATGCAGGTGGGTGGGCCGCCCCTCCGCGCGGGCGCTCCTGGCTGTCCTGGAGAGAGCGGGGAACCAGGCTGTGCCTTGGAGCTGGTACCCCGTCCAGGCCACATGGCAGCTGATAGACCTTGGATTGCCCAGATCCTTCCTGTTAGGTGTGATGGCCATTCTTGGGGGTGTCGTATAGACCGGAGTTGTTATAACTGGTTTGCCGGAAGGAAAAATGCCGAGTTAAACGCTAAGTGGGTACTGAGTTTTCCACATGCAGAAATAAGGGCCAAATCGAGAATAACTTGCTGTTCTGGAGCGCTACCGACACACTGGGCATCGGGCTGTGTTCACAATGCAGTGTCTCACTCAGTCCTCCCAGTAACGCCCATTTCACAGATGGGGAGCCTGAGGCTGGGGTGTGGGGAACAGAGTTTGTGTAGTGTCCCTCAGGGCTAGTGTGCTCAGACAGGGGACTCCAAGCCTGCGCTCTCAATCAAGGTCTCCGCCTCGGTGCCCTCCATACAAAGGGCTATAGCAGCTAACTGTGTACTAGGGAGAAGGCCAAAGGGAAGGAAAGAAAACATTTTGGGTGTTGAAAACTGTCTACTGATTTTCCTCCGTGGGCATTTAGGTGAAAATACTCCCAGTTAAGTGGGGAGAACATGGGGATGATATATCTCAGAACCCATGGTTTTTGTTCTCACCAAGTCACTAAGTATAGCAGGTCCTCAAATAATGTCGATTTGTTTAAGATAATTTCATTATAACATTGGTGTTATAATAAATGTTCTTTTAAAAATCAATTAGCCTATGTTAAACATTGTTTTCATTAATAATCATGTTGCTTAAAGTCACAGAACCTATCCACAGTGTTAAATGAGGACTTACTCTATTTATGATACCTTGAGCAAGTCACTTCAGCACTCCGGGCCTCAGTCTTTCCACCTGTAAAATGGGGACGATAAGATCTGCCTTGTCTCTCAGACAGGGCTCCTTTGAGAAGTAGAGCATTTTATAAGGGACCAAGTGCTAAAGGCATCCTTACCATTATTAATAAAACAAAAGAGGATGATGTGTAAAATAAGAGGACATTTAAATTTGTAGGAAAGGTGATTAATCATACATGAAAGGCACCAGGCGTCCTGCCTTTCCGAGCGCGTCGGGTGGTGCTGCTCTGTGTTGATGAGAATTTGCCTGTCACCGGCCTCCTCCGTGCATGCCTTTTGGGGGTGAATGTATGGTTTTAATATCTATGCACTTATGAGTGTAGGAGCCTTAAAGTGATTTTCATCAACGTGCTCTAAACCCAACCAGCTGGTACGGTTCATCAGACCACATCTGTACTTTTAACTTATGCTCGCTCCTCAATTGAACTGGATAGGATGGTGGTTTTAATCACCGGGAGATCAGTCAGCCCGTCCCCGGGCAGGCACACAAAGCGGGCCTGGGTGAGCTCACTTCTGTAAGGCTCGCATGCCACCATGAACATGGCTTCAGAAAACATGGTTGCTGGAATCGTTCTCTGTGCTAGGAGAGTGCCCTTGACCCTGTCCACCGTGCTGACAGTGGGCCAGCCCATGTTAGAACTGGACCTGGACGGGGGTCTCTTTGATAGATACAGGCGTAGCGTTTTGTGTCCCCCCCACCGCCTCCACCGCCCCCAAGTGCTCTTTTCAAGATGAGGTCTTTGTGGTCAGCGCGGGGCTTTTGGAGAAGGAGGCTCCCCATGGTGAGCTGCAAAACGAGACACCAGATTTTTGACATTTTTACAACCATCCTTTCTCTGCAACAGCCCAGCCCGGGCGAGAAGCTCCTTGAAAAGTGGCTTTCACCTTTCAATTCTGAAATCACGACCAGGGTGACACCAGGGCTTCCTGCCAGTGACCCTGGCCTTAGGTGACCCCGTGTCCTGAGCTGTGCCAGGTGAACAGGGATGACAGGGGCTGCGGGGAGGTGTCTGGGGTTAGACCTCTTCCTGGTCACGAGGCTGGCTCAGCCTTTCTCCCGTGGGCCGTCCTTGGAAAGCCTTAGGGAGCAGCTGTCCCTGCTTCCTTTGGTTTTCATACTCAGGGGAGTGAGCTTCGCGGCCACCTTCCTTCCGTGGGCCCCTGGAAGTTCAGAGAAGGAGGTCACAGCATCAGGCCTGCTTTGAGCTCTCTGGTTTATTTCTTCACCGCCCGTAGCTAATAGTTTCCAAACGAGGAAGCAGAAGTTTTGGGAAGGGTTTGTAAATATCTTTATTCCTCTTGTCTAATCGCAATTTGTAAAATTTTCAAAAATATTAAGACCTATAGTATAAGAAGTAAGTCCTTCTCTCCAACCCCATCCTCCAGGGTAATTGGTTGTGTCCTCCTGTCAGAGGCTGTGTTTCCATATCAGTTCCCACACGTATGCCCACTTGTGATGGTTGCACATCCAGGGAGGCGGTGATGCTGAGCTGTTAGGAGCATGGGCTCTGAGACAGGTGGGCTAGAGTCCCGAAGTGCTATTTACCTGCCCAGTTTCCCCGCCTGTAATATTCAGGTGACGTTAGGACTCGATCTCATGAGCGGTTCTGGAGAGTCACTGAGCCCATCTACACAGTGTTCCAGCTCATGTTCACAGAGGGGCTGAGAGTGGACTCTGGAGCTAACAAACTCCTTGGGTATGATTCCTGGCTCTGTCACTTATGAGCTGTGTGATCTCGGGCAAGTCACTTAACCTCTCTGTGCCTTCTCTCATTGGTAATATGGGGATGATGATCACAGTACCTACTCCATAGGGCTGAGTGAGCATTAAGCGAGCTAATACACTTAGAGCACTTACAACTGTTGGTGTGAAGTAAGTGCTTTGTAAGAGTTGGGTGCTGTTTTTATAAACATAAACATCAGGGCTTTGGCGATGGTTTTGCTAACATCCCCCTTTCTCCTTGCACAGGCTGTCTTCTCCTCTGTGTTTTACTTTGCATCCGTTCCTCTGTACCAAGGATTCCTCATCATTGGGTAAGGAAATCCAGGCAAGCTATTGATTTTTTATGAAACCACTCTGAAATGCCACAAAAGAAAGAAGGAACATTATATAAAGAAGCGTTATACAAAGTCCCCAAGTGGCCAGCCAAGCCGGGTCCAGCAATGCAGGTTAGACTTTTTTGGAATTACTGAGTTTTTGAACTGCTGAGCCCGTAACCAGGCAGAGGAAGTTGAGTCCGGTCGGCTTGTGTCCATGGCACTTGGTCGTTTGTACCTGGTGAGGGAAAACCGCCGGCCCGTGAGGGCCCAAGGTTATTGGCTGATTGGCCACCAAAGCAAGAGTGAAGGCTCATAGACCAGCGATTCCATGGGGGGTCTTAGGAGAAGAGAAAAGCGGGGTCTGCGCAGCACCCCCCTATGCGGCTGACCCCAGTGGGACGGTCCGCTGTTGGGTGTGCAAGGCTGGCGAGTCTTGGTGGACCCCTGCTGCCACTGACCCATTAGACGGGGTGTCACTTAGAAATTTGCTGCCACCAACTCACCCCCACTCCTGATCTGGATTCATGGAGTTCCTTTTGACCTTTTCAGAGAGGTGCTCAGTCTTTGACTTACCCAGGTGGGTGGAGTCTAGTTACCACCCGCCCTAGATAGAGGCGCACGGGCGCTCCTGGCTCGGAAGAGGTGCAGGAAGGCGCTGGCCCCAGGGGCGGTCTGACAGAGTGGGCCTCCCATCCTTCTGTGTTTTGCCAGGTTAGCCTGAGAGTAGGCGCTGGACTTCTAATTGGAAAAATGGACTGTCCTCTGTCAGGTCCTGGAAGAGTAAAGCAAACAGGCCTGAATATAGCGGGGGCTTCCGTGTTCCACGTGGTCCTTCCAGGAACTGGTGCCGATTCCCTCTCGGTTCTCATCTCCTCCTCTCTCCACCCCTCAGCTCCAGCCGCACTGGCCGCCTCGCTGGTCTTCAAACAGAACAGACACCTTGCTACCTCAGGGCCTTTGCACTCACTCTGCTGCCTGCCTGGGGTGCTCTTCACTCCCATATCGGCATGGCTGCCCCCCACGTCTTGTGGATGTTTACCAATGTCACGCCCCTTGGCGGCCTTGTAAAACTGCACCCCCACCCTGTGCCTTAGTCCCCTTCTCTATTATACTTTCCCTCCAACACATGGTGTAGTTTACTGGAGTGTTTATTGACTCACGTTTTGTCTGTTTTTCATCTCGAATCTCCAGTGCTTCGTTAGAACTGGCCCTGGCACATGGGAGGCACTCCGTACATGGTTGTCGATGGATGAATGGGAACGGGCCAGGCCTTACCGGCAATCTTTCTCTCCTAGGTACTCCACCATCTACACCATGTTCCCTGTGTTTTCTCTGGTCCTGGACAAAGACGTCAAGTCAGAAGTTGCCATGCTGTATCCTGAGCTCTACAAGGATCTCCTCAAGGTTCACCGAGCTCCTTCGCCTTCCCCTTTCCTCCCTCCTTCCTTCCTCCTTCCTTCCGTCTTCTTCCCTCCCTCCCTCCCTTCCTCCCTTCCTCCCTTCCTTCCTTTTCCTTCCCTCCCTCCCCCTTTCCTTCCTCCTCCCCTTCTTCCCTCCCTTTCCCTCCCCTTCTTACTTCCTTCCTCCATCCCCCCTTTTTCTATATTTCATCTAAAAGATACCTGATTTGAACACACTTGAACTGGTGGCTTTGAGGAGAAATGCATGGGAGTTTTTCCCACCTTAAAAAAGTAACATATGCACATGTAAAGAATACTAAACAGTAATATATAAATGGAAAACAAGCCAACTAACAACTTTTGTAGAAGCTCTGGACAGTCTTGTATCTGCTCCTAGAAATGCTTATGTACACGTCTGAAAAGTGTGTGCGTGTGTGCGTGTGTGTGTGTGTGTGTGTGTGTGTGTGTAATTTCATTTGTTCTCAAGGGGTTTTTACTAAAGGGCAGACTTATTCCTATCTGATGTCGATTCTCTTTAAAAAACGTAGTTTATTTGATGTATTCAGATATGTGTAAGCCACTTCCTTTGATGAAGACAGGCAGGTGGCCTTGCCTCGTTTGGGGAGGAGTTGCGTGAAGGCAGCGGGCGCCCTGGCTGAGCCCCGCATGGTAACCTCTTCTGTCTTTCTCTCCTGTAGGGACGGCCATTGTCCTACAAGACATTCTTAATATGGGTTTTGATCAGCATCTATCAAGGTAAGAAAGGTGAACCCACCGCTTGCCTTCTGCTCTGGCCTGGACCCCAGGGCAGCTTTATGTTCTGTTGTCTGTAGGACGGAGAAGCTGGAACCCTAGGATAGCAGGAGGGAGCGTGTCAGCTTGCTCCTGGGGGACCCTCTCAGTGAGTCCTAAGGACTAGAATATGCAGCACTCAGAAGTCCCACATGTGAGATGCTGCTGTCAGCTCAATGCCATGAAGTCAGAGAAAAAAATGACTCACACTAATCAAAACCTGCGAGGTGTTGGAGCCACTGTACCCAAAAGCGATTACTTTCTGGAACGTTCTGCTGCTTTTCCTGAGGTCAAGTGGCAGTGTTTGAAAAGCATATTTATTCCAGTGGCCTCCGGGGAGGGTCCCTGAGGCCGTGGAGGCTTTGTGAGACCTTAGTGAAGTCCGAGGAGGGAGCATCAACGCCTCTATTTGTTTTTATTTTTCCTCACTATTTCCAGAAGGTCTATTTAAAGTATGTTTTATAAGCCACATTATATACGGTGGTCCTAATACCTCCCTCCATCAGCTCATATAGAATTTACAAATATACAAGGTATATTGGGGTTCGTTTTTAATGCTTTCGGCTGGCGGGGCGCACAAAGAGTGTGGAGACCGTGGAATTTGTTAGCAGGGGCCTAAATGGTCATTACAAAATGCCAGGGGCATTTTAAAGGAGTGTATCAAAGCATAATATACGCATCTGGTTCAAGAAAGCCAGCCTGGCATGGGAGTTCAGGTGGGAAGCAGTGGGCTGCGTTCCACACCCTCCACTCAACCGGTTATAACGGGCCGCCACTCGGCGGGTCCCACTCAGCGGGTCTGAGGGTTTCCCCGGGCCCTGCCTCGAGTGTTATTCCTGTGCCGCTAGCAGTTTTAATTGGTGTGAGATGTATCTGTCCAGCCCCTGCCTTGCTGGCTGAAGCCTCATCTGCACCCTCCCCTCTCCCCTCTCTCTCCTCGGTAGCAGTTGAGTGAGCCTCCTGGTCAGCTCTATCATTTCGTATAAAGTTTACCGTCTTAACTCTTGGGAAGGGTACCGTTCGGCAGTGTCCAGTATATTGGCGCTGTGACAGGTCTCCAGAACTTTGTATCCATTCGACCATAAACTCCTCTTTCACCTCCTGGCAGCCCCTGGGAGCCTCGGACCGCCAGCTGGCTTTCTGTGTCTGTGAATACAACTCTTTTAGAGAACGTGGTCACATGAGAGGAATCATCCGGATTTTCTTTTCATGACTCCCTGCCTCTGTCATTTTAAATAATACATTTAAATTTCTATGTCTTGTTCCATCCGCTTCAGATAGTTAACCTCGCCCCATCTCCCTCGCTCCCTCTTCCCCCGACCCCACCCCACCCCACCCCACCCCCGTAGTGATAGACACTTGATTATTACGTAAGGTCAGAAGGGGAAGTCGGAAAACTAGACAAAACTGGAAAGTGATGCCTCTTTTAAACTTGCATAAAGCACCACTCATTCAGCAAGTGGTACTTTTCAGGTCTTAATGGAAAAACAAATGAAAAAAAAGGCGTCTGACGTGAGTGAGCCTTTGGGGGAGCATGGGGGAGGTGGGAGCACGGGGGTTTGCGCTCCGGGTGAGAATGCCGCCAGGGGCGCAGCCCTCCCCACCTGCACTGTCCTCTCTCCAGGGAGCACCATCATGTACGGGGCGCTGCTGCTCTTCGAGTCGGAGTTCGTGCACATCGTGGCGATTTCCTTCACGTCGCTGATCCTCACGGAGCTGCTGATGGTGGCCCTGACCATCCAGACCTGGCACTGGCTCATGACGGTGGCCGAGCTGCTCAGCCTGGCCTGCTACATCGCCTCCCTGGTGTTCCTACACGAATTCATCGGTGAGACCCCCCCTCCCCCCCGCATGGGAAGCCTGTCTGTCGCCTCCAGAGGTCTCCCCGCTTGAGAAGGAAGGCAGCCCTGGCACTGGGGTCCTGGGCTCCGTGTCCAGCAGGCCTTGGCCCTCGACTGCCCCACTGACGGCTGTCCCGTGGGCAGTGTGCGCCAGCCATCCGGGCCGGGCGCGTGGGCAGGGTCTCAGCAGAGAGAGCTTCCTTTTGGAACTGGATGTGCTGATGGGCCCTGGAGAGGATTCTGTGTCGTTCAGCAAGGGCCCGGTGGGTTTCCCAGGGAGCGACTGCTGTGCTGGGCTCTGTGCCGGATGGAGATGCCGAGTGCCCAGGTCTTGCTGGTGAATGAACGACAGTGGGCAGGACTTGACATTATTCCCTTGGGAAACTGCCTGACCAGGACGGCGCCTCTGATCACGTCTGTGCCTCAGCAAACACTCCTTACAAAGGTCTTGGTAAAGATAAAGGAGCATCCGTGTGAAAAGTGAAAAGTCTTAGAACGATTTCACACTTGTCCCCGAAAGTTCAAATGGGTTTTGTCAGCACCTACTATGCGCTCAATGGCTTGAGACTGGGGGATGGGGGTGCTTCCGGGGCCTTAGAAAAGCTGTGGTCGGTCCCCTTAAATGTGCACCTACCATAGGACTGGGTGAGCAGCATACAGTGGGCCTTAGGGCTGGCACGTAGTAGGTGCTTAATCAACGCCAGCTGTGTTTTCCCCAGCCTGTGCTCGGGCAGTGGGGCTATGTTTACTGTGCCCTCCATTCTGTGCACTGTTGAAGCCAGCAGCTGTCGCTCCCCTAGCACCTAAGGGCGTGCCTGTCCTGAGGTCAAAGCCCCGAGCTTACCCTGTGTCCGACCAGGGGGCCCAGCTGCCTTGCGCCACCCCCAGATCCGTCCCCTGGCTTCCTGTGCCCATCACGCAGACGAAGGGGAAATCGGTGGGGAAGCAGGCACGTGTGTTTGACA